GGGTTAAAATGGATGAATTCCATTCATAACACATTTTCAAGTACCGAGGTCACCAAGTGCAAAAGTTTCCGCATAATTATAGTGAAAGCTTGTAGTTGTGTAAAGCTTTTCACTGCAAATATATGTTACCAAAACAAATAAGTAAAACGGCAGTACAAAAAGGCCAGCGAGGTTACGTACATCGCTATGACGTGCTAATTGGAGCATTGTTACTTAGCTGAACGCAAACTTGTTTAGTAGTTCCAACCCGCGCTCAGGCGATGGCTCAAAACGCAGTTGGTAGCAGTCTCCTGTAACAAGCGCGTACACAGCCATCCGACTACTCCCATACGCAACCAGCTGCTTCCACACGCTTGGCAGCATCTTCGAATTCTCCCGAAAGTGCTTCTTCAAGCGATCGTGCATGACACGAACAGATTTCTCGAACTAGAGCAACACAAAATACCAAATTAATCCGACGTGCTTGTCCACTGCACTCATGTCCACTGCTTACTGTGGATGCGGTCGAGTCAAGAACGCGTCGCACGTCTTGGCGTGGCAAGTGATACTGGATCTCAGCCGCCGGTACCGTCGCCATCAGCGACTCTATCGATGCGATCATGGGCTGGTCCCAGCAATTATTTCTCGGAACCTCGTTAGAATATGATAAACTAATTCTTTTTAAGCAATTCAATTCAGCAGGCGTACCACGAGTTGCTTGAACGCGTACTCCCAGACTGACGCCACATAACGTTGCAGATTCTCCGTGTATCGTTCGTGGGCTTCGACGGCATACTGAGCTAGTGGCAGGTCCTTTGAGGGATTGATATTCTTCAAGTTGTCACTGAGAAAGAGGAAGTTTTCTAGCGACGGGGTTAATTATGACATAACCAGACGTAGCGGCCTTCCTACACGTACCAAGGCGAGTCAGCGGGGCGTACTTTGGTCTCGTGTCTGCCACTTTATCGATCCAGTGCATCGTAGCGGGCACAATCATGTTGTAGATGGACACCAGCGTGCTGTCACTGCTCTTGCCAGCAACGCTCTCTTCCATCCGAGCGATCAAGTTCTACATAAATTAATGAAGATCCACATTACGTTCCACAAACAGTATTCCGCTCAATCACCTGCTTCTCGTACCACAATTTTCTTCGTCGGACCAAGTACACCAGCCATCTTTGTGTCCACACTCTGAGCAATTATCCACGCCTCCTACACAGCCAACACCGGTAAATGGCTTGGCAAATAGCAACAGTACTACAACCGCCTTGAGGGAATAAAACTACCGTACCTGGTCTTCTGTGAACTTGATCAACATGCGCTTCATCTGCAGCTGGAAACTCACCATGACGTTGTACAGGAACGCGCTCTGCTGTCGACACGCCTCCAGCTTCCCATTCACGAGAACGACGAGCGACAGTGCGTCCAGAGTGTTGCGCGTTCCTGCCGCGTCGCCAAACTCGTTCATCCGTTTCAGCAGCTTCTCAAAGACATTCTCCATCATGAACGTCAAGTCTTCAGGCTCGTGTTTGCCCCCAGTAGTACTCGGCGTGGCAGGGAAGAAGAGGCTGGCTACCAGTCGCTGTTCCCTCAGTATCAACGGAGTGAGATGGTCCAGCGCTTGCTGCATTAACGGCGCCGCGCACATAGTGTCGCCCACACTGAAGAACGAGGACGAGAGGGAGATCGCTCTGGATTGAATCGACGTTGGCTTGTGGAAGTGGTGCTTTGTTGTGCGCGGTAGTCTGTCCCTTAAACAACGAAAGAGGGACAGCGCGTGGGCATTGTAGATCCCCGCGAGTTGCTTACTATACGTCTGCCTCAAAGAGACAAGGATGCGCGGATCCAGGGAGTGTACGTGAGCGAAAAGAGACTGGTAGTCGACAAGCGTGTTGTGAAGAGCTTCGTTGCTGAAGCTCCAGTTCATCTCGTCGCTCCCTGAAGTCACAGACGACAACTCACGCACATCTCGTCCTCGAACACCGTCGCCACCTCGAGCGTTTGGCAACTGCTTTATCTTTCGCTGGAGAAAGGATTCGAATGAGCCACACAGCTTCTCCCCAAATGTCCAAGCCAGTCTGGACAACTCGTCTCCGCGTGCTCGGAGAGCAGCCATCTCGCTTGCTGGGGACTCGTTCGTGGACTTGATGGCTTGGTCCATAGCAGCAATAGCAGTTCGGACACGCTCCGTCACGCCAACGTCATGACTTACGTCGCCTGTCTTGTCTTTCATAACGCCAGAGGTGCTTCCTGCTACGTCACCCGGGAAAACGTCCACTGGGGATGTAAAAATCCGCATGTGTTCGTTAGAAACGTCCACTTGACTCATCACCTTTGCCAATACTTTTTCTAACGCCACGCTGTTCTTGAAGTGCATCTCCAGTTGGTTGTTGAGAGCCTCAAAGTGTTTCATACTACTGGATGTCTGGCCAAGATACTCGTCCGACTCGTCAGTCCAGTCTTGAATCAGGGTAATTCGGTTCTGCACCGCGTCGATGGCCTCCAAGATCTTGTCTACAGATGTAATATTGGAGTTGTTCTTTGCTGAGGGGGCAGCTGATTCTCCATCCAACGAGAGCAGGAACGCGATGTTCTCGTCCTCTAAAGCTCGCAACTTTTTACGGAGATTTTCTTCAACAGCAGACAACTGTACGTCGCTCCAGTCGATTTCATTTAGCAAGCTGAGCGCTTCATTGCTCTCAGGAGACGCGAGGCGCAGACCAGAAACGTCGATCCCTGCGTGGCTTTCGGTGGTTTTCTTCCCACTCTCCTCCGTGGCGTTCGGGTCTTCCTCGTCCGATCCATTCTTCTTCATTTTAGCCTTATATTTAACATATAATTGTTTTATAACCACAACACTAATACATAAATATTTATAACAGACGTACCACACATTGAACGAGATCGATATCCAGATCGTATACTTTCTGCAGGGTCAGCCGCGTAGCAGTCTCGTGTAATTCCTCAATATTTATCCGCACGAATCTCGGAAGTGTGGTCTACACCATTCAACCACAAGTGTATCAATAGAACCGATAGCACCAACGTTAAAAATCGCTATCTCACTTTATTCTGAGCCATAATGGCACCCAGGCTCCATAGAAACTCGTGCATTGCCGTTGCGCTCTCTCTCGGCTCCACAAGCCACGGCCACGAGGTCGATTCTTCACTAAAGAACAGCGCGAATGCCCCCTTGGGTTTCTCCGGGCCGATGCCATTGTGCTCGATGGTGTCCAGTTTACTCAAATTCCAGGAATTGCGCACATCCACCGATAAGTTGCTCATCAGTAGCACGTAATGCAGCTCCAGCCGTTTATCTGTATTATTTGCGTCTTGTATAGTCACACAGAGGACAAAGTATCTGCCTGCGTTCGCTGCGGACCCAAATAGTCGCTTGCTCTCCGCCTCAGTCTTGGGTTTCTGCACCTGGACAAACGAGAAGACGCGCTTGCGGTTGGAGACGGGAATGGCCGCGCCGCCACCGGTGGAAGGGCGAGGAGCAGGTTTCGACGAGTGGAAGTGCGTGTGCAGCGTGTGGCGAACGTCATCACGCGAGATGTTGCCTAGAGGCTTCACCTTGCTTGCCTCCATGACCCTAAAAGGATTGCGTCTTTTCGCAACAGGTTATCCAATAAAATCTTAATTTGGTAAACATACTTTCACGAATTCAATATTTATTGTATTTTTTTACTGCTTGCTTCGTAATTATATGAAGTAAAATGCTTGGCAGTATTCGGCAAATTCTGATCCCCCCCTTCAGCCCAAGTCATCGTTTTATTGAAATGTGTGTGTGCTCGACAGAGGTTGGACAAAATAAATAAAATAAAATGAAATAACTTTTGTTTTTTGACGAAATACTTTATTTTTGCACCATCTTCCTTCAAATATTTTTTAAGTATGCTAAACAAATTTCAATATTTAGTGGCTTATAAAACTTGTATAATTTAAATTTAGGCAATATTTAGAGGCATTTTAATGTAAGTAAAGATTAAAATCAGGCTTTTATTTATTGAAATAGCTGGTGAAAATGCTTTAGAGAGTGAATAGAGGCACTGAGTGAGATCGAACCTAAAAGGACTTTTACGGTACCCAATCGGTAAATTACCTTGATATATTACCAGATATTTTAAAATTTCGAAAATGTGAAATCAGACCCCCCCCTTTAGGTCCCTCCGCAAAACGTTCAGAGCCGCTCATTTGGAGCCGCTCATTTGGATTTTCGCGCGTCTAGGCCTCAAGTCGACCTTAAGTCGCGATTTGTGTACGTTAAGTTATTGCGCTTGTGTTGGTTGTTATTGTTGCTAAGAGATATTGTAACCGCACAGGAGACGGTCTATGAGTGAAAGCGAACCAGAGGCGCACGTGCCATCCGCCAGCGTGTGGGAGGCCTCACCAAACGGACCAGGAATGGCATGAAAACTGGGACGCATTCAACAGCTACATGGGCGAGTATCAGGAGAGGACACACCAGCTCTTTCGACTCCGTAGTTCGACGTCGGTGGCCCGTCGTAACACGGAGATCAGAGCTATTGCTGACAACACATCGGGAGAGACGTCCGATTCACCGCCCTCGCTTATCCCAGATGAATTCAAAACCTATTGGATAAAACTTATCTGCACGCACGGATGGCGTCGAAAAAGTCGCAGTACTGGTCAACGAAAGAGCTACTTCGGCAAATCGACTGAGTGCAAGGCGGATATCAAGGCTGCTGTGACGTGGAACAGAGATAAGCAGAAATTCATGGTGCGCGTTACTGGCTACAGCATCAGCCATAATCATCGCGTCGACCGAGCTGTGTACGAGAACCATTCGTCGGTGCGGCGTGTCGAGGTTTCAATGCTACTTGCGTTCGTGGACGTGTTGCAAGCGTCGGGTTCGAAACCCAAGCGGATCATGCAGTTTCTGCGCGAGAAGACGGGTACGTATACATGACTTTCGTCTTGCTTTAGCTTCTATTTCTGATGAATCCGTTTATAGGTCAGAACGTGACGCTCCGTGACGTCCACAACATGGTTGCCAGAATGAGAGAGAAGCGGCGCGGTTCCAGAACCGTAGAGCAGCGACTTGAATCTCTAATGCGGGAAGTTTGTGGACGGCGGGGTAATCGAGCTTCTGTGTTTGTTGATGACGAATCTTTGGCGCAGACAATCACGCTGCAGACGCGCCAGATGCGTCGCTGGTTCAAGGCTTTTCCGGAGGTGCTGTTGATTGACGCGACGCACACACGACGACTCGAGGTACAAGCTATTCTCGTTCATGATACATGATGTGTACGGCCATGTAAGTCTACGTGTCTAGAGGTACCTGTTGGTGACTATAGACACGTAATGTACAAGAGTTACCCTCAGATGTACCTGTAGGTACCGAAAGGTACTAATGTTACCGTTTGCGTGCCTAGGGTCAGTATGTGCAGCACAGCCTAATGGAAAATGAGAGTGCGGAGTGTCTTACCGATGCGATCGAATCTTTCAAGTTTTCAAATCCGTCGTGGGAGGAGATTCGGGTCATCGTGATCGACAAAGATATGGGTGAGCTGAGCATTTTGGAGGCGCACTTTCCAAACGTTAAAGTGATTCTCTGTCACTTCCATCTCAAGAAATACATCCGGTCGGAGATGTCAAAGAGTGAGTACGGAGGGCCAAGCAGCTTCGACCTGGATCAAGTAGAAGACGCAGTGGATATGATGAGAACAGCAACCACAAGTGAAGATTACACAAGGTATCTCAAGTACCTGTATTTCCTCTTGGATAACGTTCAGTTACGCTCTACGGACGCGATCCCAGACCCAAAGCACCCGTTTCTCCGTTATTTTATGAAGAATTGGGACCAACAGAAGGAGCGTTGGGCTCTCTACGCCCGTTCAGACGTACCGCATCTTAGAAATCACACAAATAACCGGTAAGAATTTATGGAGTTAAGGCTTCTGCATTTAATTTGACGCTAACGTTTGTGTGTTATGCGATAGCTTGGAGGCATCGTGGGGGCATCTTAAGGAAATCCTGAAACCTGAGATGCATCTTGACGAATGTGTGGATACACTGATATTTCTGCAGGCAGTTGCAGAGATGGAATACAGTAAAAATATGACAGCGGTGGGTTACATGGCGATATCAGGGCGCGGATAAAGAGCTGGAGCGACTTTCACAGGAGGTGAGCCCACACGCCTACCGTCAGATTGAGCAACAGTACTGGATTGCAAAGGACCGAGCTACCCACTACGAGGTCACCGAAGTGACGCCCAACATGTTCACCGTATCGTGCGGCAGCGACAATAACGCCTATCATGTCGATACGTCGGTAAGTTTTATAGTTGATGCTAGCAATATTTATCTTAATTATTGACTAATTGTCTTTGTATTGGTACGAATGATAGGTATATCGCTGCTCTTGCGTTTTCATGCGTACCACGCTTCTTCCTTGTCGTCACGTCATGTACTGGAGACTGAGCAATGCTAAGAATGTAATTACGATTCGGCACATTGCCTAATCGATGGAGATTGTCGTGTAAGCTGAATCAATCTGCTGAAGAGGAAGACGCTCTCTCAAGATCAGATCGCACGCAAGTCCTTCCAAATCTCGTGAGTCGATGATGGTGTCAAGCAAACACAAGGTTCTCAATGGCACCACCAAATTCGGTACGGCTTGTCGACGCGGTACTCAGATCGCCGACATTATGAGCCGTAATGGTACAGCAGTCTTCAATGAGATGCTGGCAGCGTTGGACAAGTTTGAGGAGATCATCAAGGACGGGGTTGCACCGTTCGTGGGTCGTGAAGGTCAATGGATTGACCCACTTTCTCAGTTATCGATTTCTTCGTACGACCTACCTTCTGCTGTCGATGCAAGCGGCACCGCAACATCCGATCAAGAATTGGATCCTGTTTTCCCCAAAATTCTCGAACAAGTCCTAAATGTGACTATTCTGATGACGTGCCGCAAACACACCCACACCTGTGCGACTCTATGGATACTGAGACTACAACTACAGATGCTGTGCCAGGGAGTATTAATACCGTGACGTCAAATCTAACTGGAGTGGCTACAAGTACCAGAGGAACACCTCCAGTGGCTTCAGGTACCAGCGGAGTGGCTGCAGGTACCACAGGAGAAGATGCAGTGGCTACAGGTACTGATGGAGTGCCTACAGGCTCTCAGAAGGGTTCATCTGCACCTACGGTGACTGAGGAACCAATCGCGCAAAGGATGTAGAAACGGCGCCAACAAGCATCCTGTCGAAGCGACAACCCACAAGCTCGGCTAGCGAGAACTCTGACACATCTACACCGGCGACATTCAAGATCAGTAAAAGTGCGAAGAGCCGTGGGCGCCCTAAAGTGCGAAAACAGCAGAAAGTGTCCGGGAAGAAGGAGCGCATGAGTCGTGGAAAGGAAAAGGCGACAAAATTAGTTCAAGGAACATTGGTGCCTGTGCCGAGCCTAAATAATCTCGTCAAGCTTCTGGATAGGGACTACAGCTACATTGATATCAAGTCGTCCACGCAGTCGCTCTCGGAACGATCGGTCCCACAATCTAAGAAGGCTATTGCTGGAATTTTCACATCCGAGGAGAGCGAAAAGGACATTCGCTACATTTTCCCGCAGTGGTTTGTGACGAAAGCACAGAGTGCTATTCAGCAGTTTCGGAAAGCCGTACCTGTGGTCTGTGGCGAAGATGGCGTAGGAGTACGAGTACCTCGCTTTGGTATCTATCAACTAAGGGATATCAACGCGATGGATCGCTGGCACCGTGCTTTGAAGTGCATTACGGACGTGGAAGATACTGTGGTTTGGGCTGTCAATACCAGCAACAAACGGTTGTCATTGCCAGATGAACTTTTGGACGGCGTGAGTGATGACATCGGTATGCGTGAGCAGAAAATCAAGACATTATTATTGCGCGGAGGACCGCGTACACCGTTTGGTTCTCTATCGTCACTCTCGCTACTCACGTTACGTGGAAATAAATGGTTAGATGATGCATGCATGGCTCAAGGGCTGGTACTACTTCAAAAGGAAAACACCAAAGTGGGAATTATCGATCCGATATTTCATCGGTTTCACGACCGAGAAGAAAACTACGCGTTATACGCAGTGGTACTTCTTTTGATTCCGCCAATCAGCTGGTATTGATGGGGTTACACGTGGATAACAATCACTGGTGTGGGATTGTGTTTGATTTTCGCCCTGAAACCAGATCAGTCACGATATTCGACCCATTGCAAGCTACGAAGACCAATTATTACGGCATGTGCGATGATTTACTAAAGGATCTATTCGGAGAATTGCGTGCCAACATGAGGCTCAAGAAGGAAACCAAGCCACGCCAGCCAGATGGAGCCAATTGCGGCGTCATGGTACTCCTCTTCTTTGAGTGCTACATTCGTTTATTTCTATGCCCAACAAGTCAGGCCCCGCAATGTTGCGCTTTATGCGGCTGCGCTATCTACTGAAGTGTATACCGTAGCGCTCTTGCAGATGATAGCACTATGTTTACCTTTCAGTACAAAACACAATTCGTTGATATCTCACGTGTCCAGTATCATTTACAGGAATAAACTGGTAAGACGAGTTAATGACAGCTCATCAGGGTA